AAATAGTGCAACAATGAATGCATGGAAATGCAAAATCTCTTTAAATGTTCATTAAAATGAATAAAATTTAATAAAAATTTTAAAAAAGACCTATACAAAGAAAACTACAGAGCATTTCTGCAAGACACAATAAAAGACCGAAAGAAATGGGAAAATGTGCCCTGTTCATGGATAGGCAGATGCAATGTTGTGAAAATGGCAATCCTACAAAAGCAATCTACATGCAATCCCAATCCAGATACTAAATTCGTTTTTCAAGGAGATTGAAAAGGAAACTATCAAATTTATTTGTGAGGCAAGAACCTTGAATAAGCAAATCACTTCTGAGAAATAAAAATGAGGTAGGAGGCATAGTACTCCCTGACTTCAAAACACAGTAGTAGTAACCAAAACAGCATGGTACTGGTACAATGACAGATACACAGACCAATGGAACAGAATTGAGAACCCAGAAATAGACACAGTTATCTGTGGTCAACTGATATTTGACAAGGAAATAAAAACTATCAAATGGAGAAATGATAACCTCTTCAACAAATGATGCTAGCAAAACTGGGCTTCCATCTGTAGAAGGCTGAAGCAGGATCCACAACTCATACCATACACAAAAAATCAACTCAACGTGAATCAGAGACCTGGGAGTAAAGCCCAAAACCATAACATTCATAAGAGACAAACTGGGATCAAGCTTAGAAGTGCTAGTCCAAGGAAAGAGGATAAAATTTACGCATGGAATCTTAAGACTAAATCCACGTATGCATAAAAAACCTTTTTCCAACAGGGTGAAAAGAAAACCTACAGACTGGGAACAAATATTTGGTAATTCCATCTCAGACAAGAGTCTTACAACAAGTTTATAGAATACTCTTGGGCCTCCACAAGAAAAAGACTGTTAACCCAATTACAAAATGGGCAAAAGACATGGAAAGAATTTTCACAGAGGAAGATATTCGAATGGCAAACAGGCACATGAGAAAAAAGCTCCAAATCACTGGCAATAAGAGAGATGCAAAGCAAAACCACGATGAGGTACATCTCATTCCAGTAACAGTGGCAAAGTTTAACAGGGCAGTGTGTAATAAATTCTGGAAAGGATATGGTGAAAAAGAAACTCATACATTGTTGGTGGGATTGTAAATTGGTGCAACCATTCTGGAAGGCAGATTGGTGCTTCCTCAAAAAGCTGAACATAGACATCCATATGATCCTGCTATTCCACTACTTGGAATATATACCCTGAGAATATGAGAACTGAGGCACAAAACTGAGATTTGTACCAATTTTCATAGCAGCATTATTCGTCATCACAAGAACATGGAAACAGCTCAAATGTTCAACCACAAATGAATGGATTAAGAAATTATGGTTTATTCACACAATGGAATACTATGCAGCATGCAGAAGCAATGATTTTGTAAATTATTACCTAAGTTATGCTGAGTGAACTAATTCAGTCCCACAGAATAAATATTGTATAAAACCATTATTGTAGAGTAAGGATCCAAGAGAGGTGGGAGAGGCTGGAAGCAGAGGGATGAGGATGTGCAGGGGGAGGGGAGATTAATCATGGGGTTGTACAATTTGATGGGGGTGGGGTGAGGAAAATGGAAGTAATTTGTTCTTAAAACAATATATTTGAATTTTGCAAATAAGCTAGTAGAAAATTTTTAAAAAAGAACTCAGAAGACATATTGCACTAGGCAAATCTGCTGTTAATTAAGAAGTAAAAGAACAAAGATACCTGTATCAAGCACATTATTGTTCCACTTTCCTTCTGGCCTGGTCATCATCTACCCCCTTACTTTTTGGCAAGCAATAAGCATATAGAACTTAGTATTTATTTAGTAAATAAGTATTTAGAAATTAAAGACTAACTAGTGTCCTAATAGTAATAAGCTGTGCTGCAATCCCAAAGGTACAGTTAAATCCGCCAGCTGCTCTGTGGGAGAAGGGTGGACAATCTCCCGTGTGATTTACTGCCTCTGAAAACCCACTGGAGGGTCAACTATGAGTTGGTTCTGA